CTGAGGAGGTTCGAGCCAACTCCCGCTAGACTTATGTCGGTAAAGGATATCATATCCTATTATTCATCAAATGCCTGGATCTTGATGTTATATGATATGACATCTTTTTGCTCTAACTTCGGTGTGCCTTTATCATCAACACCTTACGCCCCAAAACGACTACTTGCGACCTTGCTTGATGGTTTCACGTATAGCAAAAGACTATACGTGGACACTTATGCATCGGACATAAGCATCAAAAACCGAACCAAGAAGCAAGGAAAAGAAAAGAACAAAAATGGGGTGAGAGAGAGGAGAAGACAATCCACCTAACACGATTCCAGAAAGGAGGTGAGTTGCTTCTCAATATCAAAGAAAATCAGAATACATGTCAAAACAGGTAAACCTCTCACAACGTGGTGCAGGGGTGTGAAGTGATGTAGCATCTGATATAATGTAGGAGGCGGAGTGGGTGAAGTGGTGAAGCGATGAAGTTAAAATAATAATGAGAAGTCGAGATATATACGAGAAAGCCAAAGTAAAAAAAAGAAAGCAACATGCCCAGGTAAGTAAAAGGGGGAAAACCCGATCGAGAAAAATCGGGCAGCACAACGACATAAAAATGGATTTTTTTACACCTGCAATTTACACAACTATGAAAGTACACAAGCATATGAGTGACAACATCCAGTATTTTCATCAATCTCAAACATATATGTAACATAGATAAAAAGAAGAGTAAAGAAATTGTGTAAGATGGGAATATGAGCAATGTGAGCCAACTTCTACAAGTGTACAAGCGCAAATTTCATACTAAAGCAGGTATAAACATGGTATAACTTCACAAGTGCAAAAAAAAAAGAAAAAAAAAATGTTTGTTTTGGCAAGTATAGATTGATAGACACCTCTTTTGTGTATGAGAAGCGGGGGAGAGTGTACAAAAATAAAGCTTAGGTGTTATGTATATGAATGGCCATATAAATGCACAAGAAATAAACACATATGACGTTTTCCATGAGTGTTTCAAGTAGAGCCATTCCCAAATCCGAAAATTCCATATGATGAAGGCTTCCAAACAAAGCCACACATAAAGCATTAGCTTGCACGTAAGAAGGGCTCCAAAAAAAAAATCCAAGTATGAGACATATAACTTGCACATGAGAAAAGCTTCAAAAAGCCATGTGTAAAGCCAACCCTTGGCCTACCAAAATACTTTAAAAGCTAAAAGGAAATCTCATATTTTCACATGTAAGGGAAGACTCCCAATGCCATGAATAAATCCCAATACTTTAGCACATGAAAGGTATTCCAAATGTCATGAACACACTTCACATTTTGACATAGAAAGAGG